ATTAAGTTTGCTATAAAATATATTCGTGTCGAATTTCATCGCTATAGATGCTTCTTTTAGACAGTTATGAGCGTTAAAGTAATTTTTTGAGGGGACCTTTTATGGGGGCTAGGCAAAATCGTGGAACGATATTGCCCATTTTCAATACAAAACAAACTGCATCAATATAAAATATCTGTGCAAAATTTCAGCTTGCTAGATACTTCCACTTGGACTCTATGGTGTTTTCAACAGACGGACAGACAGACAGACAGACAGACAGACAGACAGACAGACGGACGGTCATGGCTAGATCGTCTTTGAAACTAATGAGGACCATAAATATATACTTTTCTGGGTATTAAGTCAATATTTGAATGTGTTTTGATGTGGTATAAAAACATACAATTGTTTCCTGAACTAGCTTTCTGGCTGTCTTTTTGTTATCTATGGACTTCCTTCTAGGACAAGTACATGTGAAAAGAGATAGTCAACTTGATAGTCGGTGGCTAGAAGTATTTAGGTTTGTACAAATAAATTTCCTTAAAATCCTAGATATCTTTAGGACTCAAATTTTCAACAATTCTGTCGGAGAAGTTTCCTATTTAAAATCGACCCATAAATGACGAATTTTTAAGAATTTGGGCTATATTTGGCCAAAGTCCCCATAAAATATATTATTTCGTGATGCTTCTATTAATATAACAAGCTTTTGATGGTTGATGTAAGAAATTCGCCATTTGCGAATATAACCCTTTGACATGATTTTCATTGTGTATAAATTCATATAAAACCATTTGACACAATTTGTTATATTGCTGGAAGCCAACAGGGCTTGTGGTTCAGTGTTTTGGCTGTCTCTATGTTAAAGAACGTTTTGTATATAAATTTTATACATACATATTTATATAGTTGATGTAGAACAATAAAAAATATGTTTATTTGTTTACTTTTTTCCATTTACAGTTTTATAAATTTGCCATGTCTGAAACAAAAAAAAAACTTTTTATTTGCTTTAATTTAATGAAAGTTACTACCTATTACACATACAGATAGACACACTGTACACACACAAATATCAACATATTTACAATGGTGGTTCTTGCAGCATAAACAAGAGAGTGTGTATGTATGTTTTTGTGTACAAATTTACAAGGTTGCTTGTTACTCTGTGTGCCACTGGCAAAATGGTGGGAAATTTGCAACAATTGTTTACAGATGAAAATAAAATGTAATAGAACAGAAACAAAAAAAAAGAAACAAGACAGCAATTGTTATAATAAGTTTATGTATACAAAACATCTAAACACTCAACTAGTCATAAAATAAGACAACAAGATTAAATGCATGAAGGCAACATGAATAAAATTGTTCTGGGTCTATGCTACGAATGGAAATGGAAAAAAAAAAACATAGACCAAATTATATGACAATTGTTTAGTATCTGCTGTACGCAACAATTGAAAATTGTCTTCATAGTCTGAATGACAATTGATATAACGACTATGAATTATTTTATATTATATTGCAAGTATAATAACATTTATTTTCACTATTACAGTAAGGACGTGTGCTTTAATTGGCATAGTGGATAGAGAGAAAATTGTTTTTATTTTAATTTTATTTTAAAATATTCTTAAAGCAAAAGTTAACAAAATTTTTCTAACAAAAAAGTTTAAATTATTAATTTAGAAGGAATTACTTTACAAAGCAATATTTACATATAAATAAATATATCAGGAAAATTTGTATTAATTCCACAACAACATCTAGGTATTGGTTCTAAAGAAGCGATTTGTAGTCGATACCAGTTAGTTCTATGGTTTTGAAACCAGATCTGTAATCAGCTCTAGAGAAGCTTAGAGAACATATACACCTTCTTTAGAACAATTTTTGAGTTCGTGTTTTAAAGAGTTTTGTTTGAAAATCAAATTTTTAAAAGTCTTTCAATATCTCTTGACCAATTTTCTAATTTCAATATGTATAGAAAAGTTATAGCGATAATGCTATATAAACTATAAAAAAGACCTCTTAAGATTACTTTGTCAAAAACTTTGCAAAAATTTAATTGATATTTGAATCAATTTAAATTCGTCTTTTATCCTTAACAAAGCAAAAAGGATTATAATGAGCTAGAATTAAATTAAGTACTATACATTAAAATCCAATTAAAAACGACAATAAAGAATCTAAAAGAAATTCACAAAAACATTTGTCACAAATTAGAAATATTTGCGAAAATGAAAAATAACACAAATGATGAAAATAAGTAGTTCAAGGTTACACATCGATATATTAATGAATAAATAAATAAGTATTTCTTAACAAACACTTATAGTTAGTAAATTAAATGAGTTCTCAAGAAAAAGGAAATAAACACATTTAACATACATATTATAATGATAGTACCATTCTTAAGCAGCTAACAACAGTTTTCAAATAAACATGTTTACAAATTGATAAAGTTTTCATAAATTTTTATACATTTTTAAATTGTATGGACACATATCAGCGGTTCCTTACTAATATGCACACACATGCTTATGACATAAACATACATACATGTAAGTATGTAACAGATTGTAAATAACTCTTACATTATTTATTTAATGAGGCACACTAATGTAATATTTCCGCATCAATGCACCATTATCATCAACATTATCAGATTCCTCAACATGTGTAACAGCAACAACAACAACAACACCACACAACCTCATTTAAAATATTTAACAACATTCTCATAAATGTCCTTTAAAGATACTAACAAGTAAAATACATTCACATTTAACTCCCACACACATACACGTAATAAGAGTTTTAAAACCTTTATCTAAAAAAATTTCCAGCAAAAAAAAAAACTACAAACTGTTTTAAATCTTAATTTTACGCAATTTGTTAATGTCATATTTTTTTGATATTTCAAGGAAAGTCCTTAACAGGTGCTACAAGGCGTAACACCGGATTTCGCATAAAAGTCCTTAACAGGTGCTGTAAAGCGTAACATTATGTTTTTATTGCAACCAAATGTTAAAGAATATCTTAAAGATTTAAAGCTATTTTTTTCCTAGAAAAATATTCATCACTATGGTACATCATCAATGTAATTTGTAATGAGAACATTCGTCATTAAGTGTTACACTCGTTTTTATGTTTTGTTTAACATGAATTCACATTTATTTGTGGCGCATGTCTGAGAGTAAGTTTCTCATTTTGTTTATCATTCTCAGGCCAAAGAAGCACGTGTTTCTGTTGAGATATATTCACCTCACTTCCTGCTGGAGAAAGCTGTTAAGTGGGACATTTTCGAAAAATGTTAAATCAAGTGTGCATGTAGTTGTTAAGAGATTAATAAAAAAGTTATTGTCGATAATGCAGTCCTTGTGAGGAAATGAAGTTAGTGAGTTAGTTAGTTAGTTGGTTAGTTAGTTAGTTAGTTAGTTAGTTAGTTAGTTAGTTAGTTAGTTAGTTAGTTAGTTAGTTAGTAGTTAGTTAGTTAGTTAGTTAGTTAGTTAGTTAGTTAGTTAGTTAGTTAGGTAGTTAGTTAGTTAGTTAGTTAGTTAGTTAGTTAGTTAGTTAGTTAGTTAGTTAGTTAGTTAGTTAGTTAGTTAGTTAGTTAGTTAGTTAGTTAGTTAGTTAGTTAGTTAGTTAGTTAGTAGTTAGTTAGTTAGTTAGTTAGTTAGTTAGTTAGTTAGTTAGTTAGTTAGTTAGTTAGTTAGTTAGTTAGTTAGTTAGTTAGTTAGTTAGTTAGTTAGTTAGTTAGTTAGTTAGTTAGTTAGTTAGTTAGTTAGTTAGTTAGTTAGTTAGTAGTTAGTTAGTTAGTTAGTTAGTTAGTTAGTTAGTTAGTTAGTTAGTTAGTTAGTTAGTTAGTTAGTTAGTTAGTTAGTTAGTTAGTTAGTTAGTAGTTAGTTAGTTAGTTAGTTAGTTAGTTAGTTAGTTAGTTAGTTAGTTAGTTAGTAGTTAGTAGTTAGTTAGTTAGTTAGTTAGTAGTTAGTTAGTTAGTTAGTTAGTTAGTAGTTAGTAGTTAGTTAGTTAGTAGTTAGTTAGTTAGTTAGTTAGTTAGTTAGTAGTTAGTTAGTTAGTTAGTTAGTTAGTTAGTAGTAGTAGTTAGTTAGTTAGTTAGTTAGTTAGTTAGTTAGTTAGTTAGTTAGTTAGTTAGTTAGTTAGTTAGTTAGTTAGTTAGTTAGTTAGTTAGTTAGTTAGTTAGTTAGTTAGTTAGTTAGTTAGTTAGTTAGTTAGTTAGTTAGTAGTTAGTTAGTTAGTTAGTTAGTTAGTTAGTTAGTTAGTTAGTTAGTTAGTTAGTTAGTTAGTTAGTTAGTTAGTTAGTTAGTTAGTTAGTTAGTAGTTAGTTAGTTAGTTAGTAGTTAGTTAGTTAGTTAGTTAGTTAGTTAGTAGTTAGTTAGTTAGTTAGTTAGTTAGTTAGTTAGTTAGTTAGTAGTTAGTTAGTTAGTTAGTTAGTTAGTTAGTTAGTTAGTTAGTTAGTTAGTTAGTTAGTTAGTTAGTTAGTTAGTAGTTAGTTAGAATTCAACAAACTGGGTTTCTTATCTTTTTAGAAAGGTATGTTCGTTTTACATATAGAGCATCAAGAGCCTATCTACACGGAAACCACTACATTTTTCATCAAAACTATTTACATACATATTTTCAAGGTCATGTAATACTTTAATAAATTTACCAAAATTTCTTCTTATTTAAGCTTTTTCACAAAATAACACTAAAATAGAGTTTTTATAAGAAGCAAGTTCTAATACCAAAAATTAATATTACCATTAACTTAGCAATATTTTTACCATTTTCTCTTTTAAGGGGAATTTCTCCAGCTAGCAAATTGACTTCAACACAAAAGCTTTTAGTTGTCTTCATAATAGTTAAAAGAGCATAAGAGGCATATCAAAACAATTCTCTTTTAAAAATGAAGTAAAGCATCAATGAAAGCTACAGGGATTTGGCAAGTTGATAAAATTTACACAACGACCAAATGAAAATTTTTCAAATAGTTACAAACGAAGGCTAAAACTAAACGGACGTATACAAAAGTGAGGCGAAATCTTTATATAAAATTTTAATAGAAAATCCAACAAAAAGGAATAATTATATATTATAGAATATAGAAGTGATGAAAGAAAAAATTAAAAATCATCAAGCAGCCAAAATGTTAAGAAAATATTGTTGAATAAAAAATTAAAGAAAAATATTTGAGTTGAAATTTAAAGCAAAAAATTAAATTTAAAAATGTTAAAAAAAAATTTGTTAAATAAGTAATGTGCGCACTGCCACGTTAGAAGCCTGCCACAACAACAAACAGTTTGTGGAAATATGCTACAATAATAATATTGTTGTTTTTGTTGTCGTTTTTTTATTATTATTGGTGTGGCTCGTTATTGTCGTTGTTTCCCAGAGTTTGAAATAAGAGACCTCCGGATATAAAAGTGTATATCGGTATTTGAGTACGTAAATATATAAACACATACATATATGTATGTAAGTACACACATACATAAGTATGTATGTATGTCATTCTTCGTCTGTGAACGTTCGTTTTGAAAGCATAAGTGTATCTATGTGTAAAAGTATGTCTATGTTTGAGTATGAGTAAATACAACAATTTCAAATAATATTTGGTTTCAGTTCAGTGGTGTATCTTCATCTAGAAAATGATGTGAGTGAAAGCAAATGTATGTATGTTAAGTGCTTTAAAAGGATTCAAGGATTCAACTATAAAAACACAAAAAAGTGAAAGTACTTGTGTTTCAGCTACCAGAAAGCAAAAAACACAAACAAAATTTAAATGGTTTTAAATAAAAAAGCAAAAAAAAAACGAAATATAAAACTGGTAAAACTGAAATCTAATAAAACTGTTTGTACTTACAAAATACACAGTATATGTAATCATTTACATGGTAACTAAAATATTTGCATATTTACATAATATAATGTAATAAAATAAAAACAAACAAAATGTGTTTTAAATGTAATATAGTATGTGAAAAATTAAATATAAATGCAAATACTCATTTATATAATGTGTTATAATAAATCATATAAAAAAAGAGATTCTGTTTTTATCAGCCTTAAATTATGCCACAAGAAAAGAAAAAATAATTGAAGCAAATTTATACTATAGAAATAATATGAAAAAAACTGAAACTTGTTAAAAAATCTAAATGTCCAAGTTTTTGTGTCTAACTTTCTCTAACAATTTAACAAAAAATGATAAATGATTATTTTACCCAAAAAAATTTAAGCTAACAACACAAAAATAAAATAAATTCATGACATACACACCAAAAAAAAAGAACAAATAAAATCTAATATTATAATAAATAAAAGATAAAATATTTTGGGTTTTTATATTTGCCTTTTGGCTTGCTAGAATTTACCCCTAAATAAAGAATATCTTATAATAAATGACAAACGTTAGAAAGGGATTATGTGGCAATGAATAGAAATAAAAATCATACAGAAAAAAACTTGTTCAAGTCGTATGATATAAGTAAAAAGAATAAATCAAACAAATTGAATTTCAAAAGTTAAATTATCAAATATTTAAAATCGATAAAACAAAGACTTCATATATGTATGTATAAAGAAACACGAATAATTGAAATGATTTTTCAAATACTTGTTTATTTTTAATAAAAAAATTATAGATTTACAAATGGTGTTCTAACTTAAAATAATAAATGTTAGACCCACTGTATGTGAAACTCTTAATACATGTTGATCTGAAATGTTGGTTTATTAACAGAAATTGATAAGACCTAAAGAACAGACAGAGCAATTTCTGTTAGTAAACCAACATATCTGATCAACATGAAGTATTTTGTAAAAATATTATAAGTTTATCTATTCATGTTCAAGAAAGATGGACGCATATACATACATATATATAGCTAGGTTGTTTTTGAATTTTACTGGATGGCAGAATTTATGAATATTAGGGATATTTTTTTCAAAAAAGATTCATTTTATAAAATTTAGATTTACTTCATTTTTTCCGACCCTACCAAAACACACAAAAAAATTAATAAACCAACACAAACAAACGTCAAAGCAGGCAAAAAAAATTTTCTTTTTTTGATAATAATTTCAGATGTTGCCTCGGATTTTTGCTCATATCTCCGTTATTTATGAACGGATTTTGCTGATTCTCGAATGCATGCCAGACAGAATTATTGAAGATTTGGACCTCGAAGATATTTGGGGTCTTCAGAAAATTTATTGCAACGGACAGACAGACAGACAGACAGACAGACAGACAGACAGACAGACAGACAGACAGACAGACAGACAGACAGACAGACATACATACAGACAGACAGACAGATAGACAGACAGACAGAAAGAGAGACAGACAGACAGACAGACAGACAGACATACAGACATGGCTTTATCGACTCTATCTATAAGGATCCAGAATATATGTATACTTTATAGGGTCAGAAAATTATATTCAAAAATTACAAATGGAATAACAACCCTACGCGGTTATTCGCGCTTTAAATGTATGTCCGTTTGTTTATAATCAGTTTTTTGGAGGCCCCATATATCTTCGGAATCCAAAGCTTAGATTTTTCTATTCTGGAGACCAATAGAAATGAATAGTCTAGAGATATAGTGCACGACGAGGTGTAACAAAAGTAGAATTTTCGATGGAAATGTCCATATCGCTCATTTACTACAAGACAGGTATAATTCAAAATTTGGGTTTTTTGAACTGAGGGCTACAAAACATGCGTCATACTAAAGTCTTTCATATAGATTTATAAAATTTCAAATATGTCGGTATGAGATTGATTTTTCGTTGTAAACATAAAAATCAAAGACTTTTGACAAAACCATTTCTTTGGAATTTCACAGGAGAGTAAAAAAATATTTAAACGTGGCAAAAAATTTTCCAAATTTTGATTGGATCGATGACATGTCTTTGGATTTAGAAGGCATAAACTTACCTCGACTAGACAGATACGCCTTTACATTGTTATATTGACTACATTTTACTTTTTGGGGAAATTGTCTAATGTCGAGATAAGTGCTTTTGTCACACACATGTCCACAGATATGTGAGTAACATTTATTTTTAATTTCTTTTTTGTAAAATTGAAGTTACTTAGATACAAAATCTGTAAATAACGGGACGTCAATTTTAAAATTAAGTTTTGACAAATTAAGTCATTTCAAAAGAGTTTTCGAGTTTTGTCCCTAAGACAATGTAAACTTCAAATTGTAATCTTTTTGGAATCAACTTTTAAAATTAGAGTATGCCATTAGTTTCTACGACTCAAACTTAAGTTGACGAGTCTCGGCATTTTTCTATGTCATTTAAAATGTTGAAATTTTTCTTAAATTCTTTTTTGTTAAAAAATAAATATTTTTTTCATTTAAAGTGCTACATACGGCAAATTATAATTCGGATTAAGAAAAATTAACAAGACAAGTTTTGATTATATAATAGGATTATGTATTATATTTTTAACATTGGTCAACAATATTTTGAATTCTACTAAAATTTGTTAATGCCAAATTACTTATGATAAACTTGTTCTTTAAATATTTGTTTTTTACGGCATTAAGGAACATCAATACAAAACAAATGAAAGAAATTATGTGCATTTCCTTAAAGATTAAAGATTAAAGGAGCTTCAGAAAAAAGATCAAATCAAACTTTAAAAAAGACCAGAATAGACTCAAAGGTTTGTTACAGAAAAAAAACTTAAAAATCTGTATTAAGTCAACTTAATATTAGAGTAGGGCACTTCCGACCATAAAAAGTCTGAGTTTTTTTTATAAATGAAACCACTATGACCAACTAACTGTAAGACAACTCGAACATACATAAGCTGAGTATATGAGATTTCGGAAATATTCCTCTAAATATATATTTTTTCAAAATTTTGTTTGCATTTTATTTCCATAATTACGACCCATTCGTATACTAACAAGACACTATGGGCAACCAAAATGTGGAAAATTAGATTATTAAAGAAATCTTAAAAATTAACATATTTTTGTGTGGCGTCGAGTAGGTTATTGATTAGTGTTCTACTCTGGTAGACCGGAGGTAGTGGGTTCAATTCCCACCTGTGGCACTGGTTAAGGAGCGCACAACAGGGACAATAGAGGCTTATGTAGATCTATTTCTTCGGAATTGATGTACCATATAGATACTCCTTTCAAACTAACTAACTAAATTATTTTTGTGATTTTGATATTTAATACTCGCATATCGTACTTGGACCAAATTTAATTGTGCTACTGAAATTCACAGCTAACTAATCTGACTGTATAAAAACTTTAATATTGTTTTAAATTTTATATAAAATATAAAATTTTTATAATATATATTTAATAATGATTTTAAAATGGAAAACTTTTCAGTCTCAACATTTCGAATGCCAACTATAAAAAACATCATCACATGTTTGCAAACAAAAGTTTGTATATTTAAATAAAACTGGCACTCAAAGATTGTTGAAGCAAGTAATTACTGTAATTTTTTTTTTTTTTTTTTGAAATAGAAACTTTGATTTTTCTCTAACTATTTAGTATTTTACTCTTAGTATTTACTGTTTTAGTTTTCTCAAAACCACTACGAAACCCCGGAAAAATAGTTTCTAACTAAAGTTTTTTTTTTAAAACATGGAAAAAAAATAGTTCAAGAAACTTTTTGCTTTGTTTTTTTTTTTTTTTTTTTAATTCCACATTGATACAAATATTCATAACAACATGTGCATTAAATATAAATAGAAAAAATAAATAGTTTAAGCATTTTGTTGCCCTGGTAATATCTATCAAATAAAATACATATTTGAATAACAAATTTCAAACTAAACAAAACAGAACAAAAAATATACTGAGATTTGCAAAAGAAAAACAACAAAACAATATATATGTATGTATATAATATTATGCAAATAAAAAATAATAATATTAACATTTGCATATTAGAGAATGTCTATTTCAATAATAAAAAGTGTGTCATTATTAAATTCGAAAAAAAATTTTATAAAATTGTATAGGAAAAATTAATAAAATAGAAAATTACAAGTATACTATATATTAAATACTTAAATTGTATATAATTTAGTATTAAAAAATATATTTATATTTTGTTATATACATTAAGTAACAATTAAATATACCAAACAAATAGTATAAGCGACAAAAGAGTCATAACTCAAAATTATATAATTTTGACATAATCGTCATGGAATATTTTAAGTGATTAAATTATTCATTAAACAAATTGCATGTTTGAAAGGCATGATAAAACTCTAGAAAGAATTTATGACAAAAGTTTTTAATGAATCAATACTACGAATTAAGAAAAGAGTTATTTAAGCAAAGTGCACATTTTGTTAATGATTTCAATTATTATTGAGTAAAATACCGATTTAATTTTCAATTCATAAATAATAACTTAGAATTTATGTAAATAACTACACAATTTATGAAAAACTCGAACTCAAGACTGAAAAATATTCAATAATAAATTTTTCAATTATAGACAACTTTCAATAAATTTCTAATTCATAGACAATTATCGAGAAATTCCTCATTTATACATAATTTTCAATAAACTTTAAAATTTATAGTGAATTTTAAAATTAAAACTGATTTTTTTAATAAAATCTCAACTTATAGAGCTTTTTAGATAAATTCTCTATATTAAAAGTATATTTATTTTCAATTTATAAAAAAAAATAAATTAAAAAAATTCTCAATTTATTGAATGTTTTCGATAATTTCTCAATTTTTAGAAAATTTTCGATTAATATCCTATTTAATTTTTTTTTTTCAAATTTTTGATAAATTCTCAATTTACAGAAAATTTTCAATAATTTACAAATTTTTTAAAAATTTCTAATAAATTCTTAAGAGAAAAATTTTATATAAACTTTAGATTACTTTAGATTCTTGAAAAGCCTTTATCGCCTTTACTTCTACAACCAGTTTTGAGGCCACTATCGCGCACAAAAGGCGCGATAGTGGCCTCTTGTGTTGTGTAGTATACATCCTATCAACCTAACCCTAACCTAAGTATTAGTTTTATTATCGATTTAATTGCATATTTAACCCTATTGCCCCATCAAAATCATCTTTAAGAAAATTGGTTTTTGAACAACTTTGATTTAAGAAAAGTTAATAAAAGTCAAATTGCGTTTTACATTAATATAAATAGTACAATTTTCTTATATAAAACAGTTTGTAAATTTCTAAATACGTCTGCAAAACAGGTTAGTTAAACATCGTACATATACACATGTATATCATTATAAAGGCCTCAGCTTCAACTTCTAAATCCTTTGAGAAATTGAAAATACGTTGAGATTCAACTAAGTTATTGATTTATAAGTGTATTAATGTACGAAAACCGTTTTTTACCCGTATCTTAAGATTTTGGTGTTTGGCAAGTTTTATTTAAATTTTATTAAATTATTCAAATAAAAACTTTTATTTGTTATTCGTTCGAATAATCCAACAATTTTGAAAATTTAATCGACTATTCGAATAAAAGAAATACAGTACATTTTTATTCGAATAAATTTTAAACACGAATAATTGACAACCCTAATGCATACATATGTATTCAGTATTAATTTTTGTTTGTTTTAATACAAATTTTTAAATCTGTCATAAGATGTTTTATTTAAGTTTAACTATGCGTATGAGTGTTATATTTTGTATGAACGAAGTAAAAAAGTTATTCATACGCCCTGTAGGCAGTGGTTAGAAAATATATTTTTTTAGGAAAAAAACTAATTATGATTTTTTTTATATTTAATAGTTAAGAGTATAACAAAATATTTAAAAACTAAATACGTATTATTTATGCGCGGAATATTTATTTATTAATTTTTTCTACATACAATATGTATGTAGCGAAAAAAGTCTAATAAAATTAAATTTAATCAGAAATTAATTAAAAAATTTAAACTACCCTGCAGCAAATGAAGCGATAATTGTCTAAAAGCAGACACTAGTACAAAAGGGGTTAGAGCTTTTAGGGAAAAATATTATGTAGTACTAGAAGTAGATGAAGGGCACCACTTGAAGGCTAATTTTTATTTGACATGTGTTAGAAAAAATAATTTTTTAAAATTTAATTTTCAAACATTTTGCATAAAATATCAATCATTATGTTTGTAATTAATTGTTATTTTATCTAAATTTTGGAAATAATATTTTAAAAAATTATTTCCTTTGAAATCAGAGAATTAATAGCGAATTAGGCCCAGTTGCATGCAGAACCCTATGTAAGTACGAATATTAACTTTAGAAAGTTGCAATGAGTTTAATATTTGTTTTATCGTACGCCAAATGTTTTTAAAATGAAATGAAGTTTTGGGCCATCATGTGATCTCTGATATAAACATTGGTGATACGTATAGAAACCAAATTTATAAGAATTTTTTTTTGTATTTTTATTAATCAAATCTTATAAAAAATAACTAAGTTTGTAGTAACTTTTACTTGAAACCACGTAGGAGGAACAAAACCACCAATTATGGGGAATTTTTGTGAATATTAGAACTAGAAATAAACTGGTTTTAAAGAACCCAATTGGCTTCAAGTGTAAAAAGTCTAAAATTAATGGTACTTTATGTTAATTTGAGCATTAAGATGGTATTGGAAAGCTTACAGGGAAGTAGTACTGGTGATTTTTGTACTAGTAAAATTCTAGTTTGGTACTATTTTCGTTTCCTGCAGGGTAACATCAGATTTAATTAAAAGTACAATAATTATATGAATATTCCCAGCAAAACATGACTTGCACTTACCCAGCTACACAGAGGGAAAAAGAAATATACACGCCTGGTAACAAATTGACACCAAACTGTTTATAATTTTTCAATACCATCCGTTGTCAAAGTATATATATAAGTACGACAACTTTTTGTAATGTTGACAACATTGCAACAATTCGTTGTAGAAATTTAAATTTTATACACACCTGTTTATTAGGGTTTAAAGTTTAATTCGGAAAACTTAATACAAATTCTGTTAAAAGTCTTGCCACATAATCACAAACTAACACATGTACTAACTTCACTTCAATTAGTAAAATCGCGATGTCAACAAATATGCATTTTTTACATAAATTAATACATCATCATAGAATAAAATTGTTTTTTATTTATTTGACCGTAATTAAAAATACAAAAAAATAAAAAAAAATCTGGATTTAATTGAATAAAAAACCACAATAGCAAATTTAATTACTACTCTACAAAAATTTGTTAGAGTTTGGGCATATGTGTGTACTATTATTTCATTTTATTTACTTTTTGTTAATTAAAGTCATATTTGAAAAAAAAAGAATCTAGCATTTGAATGAATACACCAGAGAGCTATTTTAAATAAAAGCACTTAGAAAAACAAATAAAAAACACCTACATAAATTTAATTAATTAAATTTTATTTAATAACCATTTTATAATTATTTACAGCAATACAAATTGTATAGAACTAAAAAAATATATATATAATAAAACACAAAAAATTTAATTAAATGCAAATGACTTTATTCCACCTGAATAATGATTAATTAATAATAATTGAATTTTGCATTATTTAATTTTAAAAAAATGTAACAAAAACAAACGGGAAATTTTATCACAATTTAAAATGTTTAAAACTGCTTCAAATTCGCTCAAGTATGTAAAGCATCAAAATGTGGTTTAAGTTTAAAAATGTTGCCACACTCATAATTGAAACGTTTCATTTATTGCTAATAACAATTCTACTCGGTAATCCATTCAATGTTAAACAAATTGACGACATTGTTGTGATGGCTTCCACAGCAAAAACGACTCTTGCAACAATAATGGCAAATAGTGCTACTACAGCTGCCAACAAACAGCAACCATCAACACCCTCAATACTGACAGCTGCAGCATCATCATTATCAGCAGCAACCTCCCTGGCAGCAACAACAGCAGTACCATCACCATCATCATTGCTATCATCATTATCCGCCTCCTCATTGTTCTTCTCGGAAGAGAGTGGTGATGGTGGTGCCACCAACAGCAAACTGTATGATTCAACATTTGCACAAGCAATTGACAGAAATGGTAAGTGCTGATGTGAAAACAAATAAATTCTATTTATTTTTAAACGGAAATTGTCGTATAAATTTATTTGGTATTCAAATTTATGCACGAATTCAAATACGTTTGTTAGTGTTTGATTAGAGAAGTTGTAAGGAAAACATTGTTTTAAAACCACACTACGATAAAATTTAATAAAAATATAATAGAGAATTTATGTAATGTTAATCTACGTCAGGCATGGAAAATTCAGTACTTTAGTACTTTTAAATATCCAAAAATACCGCGGGACCCACACGATATTATCGGTATTTTATAACTTTTGACAGGCCAGGTTGAAGTCTATAGTCTAGTCTATAGTCTAGTCTATAGTCTAGTCTATAGTCTAGTCTATAGTCTAGTCTATAGTCTAGTCTAGTCTATAGTCTAGTCTAGTCTATAGTCTAGTCTAGTCTATAGTCTAGTCTAGTCTATAGTCTAGTCTAGTCTATAGTCTAGTCTAGTCTAGTCTAGTCTAGTCTAGTCTAGTCTATAGTCTAGTCTAGTCTATAGTCTAGTCTAGTCTATAGTCTAGTCTAGTCTATAGTCTAGTCTAGTCTATAGTCTAGTCTAGTCTAGTCTATAGTCTAGTCTAGTCTATAGTCTAGTCTAGTCTATAGTCTAGTCTAGTCTAGTCTATAGTCTAGTCTAGTCTAGTCTATAGTCTAGTCTAGTCTATAGTCTAGTCTAGTCTATAGTCTAGTCTAGTCTATAGTCTAGTCTAGTCTATAGTCTAGTCTAGTCTATAGTCTAGTCTAGTCTATAGTCTAGTCTATAGTCTAGTCTATAGTCTAGTCTATAGTCTAGTCTATAGTCTAGTCTATAGTCTAGTCTATAGTCTAGTCTATAGTCTAGTCTATAGTCTAGTCTATAGTCTAGTCTATAGTCTAGTCTATAGTCTAGTCTATAGTCTAGTCTATAGTCTAGTCTATAGTCTAGTCTATAGTCTAGTCTATAGTCTAGTCTATAGTCTAGTCTATAGTCTAGTCTATAGTCTAGTCTAGTCTAGTCTATAGTCTAGTCTATAGTCTAGTCTAGTCTATAGTCTAGTCTATAGTCTAGTCTATAGTCTAGTCTATAGTCTAGTCTATAGTCTAGTCTATAGTCTAGTCTATAGTCTAGTCTATAGTCTAGTCTATAGTCTAGTCTATAGTCTAGTCTATAGTCTAGTCTATAGTCTAGTCTATAGTCTAGTCTAGTCTATAGTCTAGTCTATAGTCTAGTCTATAGTCTAGTCTATAGTCTAGTCTATAGTCTAGTCTATAGTCTAGTCTATAGTCTAGTCTATAGTCTAGTCTATAGTCTAGTCTATAGTCTAGTCTATAGTCTAGTCTATAGTCTAGTCTATAGTCTAGTCTATAGTCTAGTCTATTCTATAGTCTAGTCTATAGTCTAGTCTATAGTCTAGTCTATAGTCTAGTATTTAGTCTAGTCTATAGTCTAGTCTATAGTCTAGTCTATAGTCTAGTCTATAGTCTAGTCTATAGTCTAGTCTATAGTCTAGTCTATAGTCTAGTCTATAGTCTAGTCTATAGTCTAGTCTATAGTCTAGTCCATAGTCTAATCTATAGTCTAGTCTATAATCTAATCGACAAATTCCTACTGCCTTATTCATAAACATTTATCAAAAGTTTATAGTACAAAATTTGCATGAAAATTTTATTTATAAACCTTTGTTAAAAATTTTTGTAAATTTTCGATAAATTTTCATTTTATAGAAAAGTTCTGCATTTATAAATTTCTTCTTAAAATTCTAAAACTATTGGGAAATACATTTACGCGCTGTCCTGCAGTTTTAAAAATTTTACGGTTTACTTACTCAATACTTTTACAAATTTGGTTTGTGCTAAATAGTTTAACATTTAACCAGTTAAAATAACAAAAATGTTTTTCCATCTAGTTTCCAAATATGTGCATTTTACTTATTGTAAGGTCATATGTGAAAAGTGCTTAAAAATTGTTTAATGTATTATTTTTTTATATTTTGGAAAGTAAATATTTATAATTTTGCATGCTTACATACATATATATATACATATATGTATGTATATTTAAGTTGTAGACATGGGATTGTATGTATTTTGTATGTTGAAAGAATACTGTAATGAAATTATAAATTATGTATGAATTCTGTGAGCAACTGGATGGTTTAGAATTTATATCTACTGCAGATTAACACACAAGTGTATAGGAAACATGATTATTTATGTACTCACGATATACATACATACTTAAATGTGTATTCTTATGCATACAATGGAATTTCAGACTGTCTGCTTCAAACTGGTAATTTTACCTACTTACAAATTTAGGTTTCTCTTATTACAGAATAAGCTATATCACATATTAAATCTATTAGCATCTGATTGTAGAAGGATGAATTCAACTGTTGCCACACCTATAATAACCACACGATTTCAAGTAAATTATTGTATTAATGTGATTGATTTCTAGATTAACTAACAAGTGGTTGAAAATTTCAGAGATATGGATACATTGGCTCTAAGTTAAACTGCTGGGATTTGTTTAAACACACAAAAAAAAACTGCATTATATCCTCAAATGTACCCAAACGTAAATTTAAATGATTTTCAAGCAAATATGTTTACTATAGCTAAACCTTTTTAAATTTACTAAATAGAAATTTCTCTTAACCTACATGATTTTACTTTATACTATTTGCAATTGCTATTTTGTTTAATTCTACTTTAGCCCAGCTGTTTGTACTATTTACACAGTAATTCAATGGTAAAAGTAAAAAGTAGGAAAAAAATTAAATAAAGAAAAACATTTGCAAAATATTAAAACTCAAGGCTTATAAAACATCTGAGTTTACAGCACCAGAGGTGAAGGTTAAATTGTGGTTTTTTGTTGAAAGTTTTTTTTTTCGATTATGAAATTGTGTGTTTTACACAAATTCAAAGGCACACAGACATTATTCATAATATACATACATATATATATACAGCAACAAATCTTACTTTAATCCATTTACTTATATGTGTGTGCAATATAAAAGTTAACAAAATAAAACATAAAATACTATTAAGCAATTTGTTGCATTAAAGTTAAATTTAAAGGAAAAGAAAAAATAAGTATTTAGATAAATTTGTAGTAAATGAAAAGATAAAACATTATTGACTTTTTTAAAGGAAATTTTAGAAGAAAATGAACTAAAAATATATAATTAAATATTTTAAGATGAAGAAAACTTTTTATAAATTAAGAATTTATAAGTAGAATTTCTAAAATTACCCATAAATAAAAAATTTATCAAAAATTCTCTTTAGATAATCTATTTACATATATAAAAGAGTACCATTACTGACTGACTGATTTGTCATCGCACAATGCATCTGTATCTACTCTTAAAATTATCAGATGGGTGTCTGGTACTTTTTTGAAATTCATACTTTTAAGGGGTGAAAATGTGTAACAAAGGTGATTTTGGTACCTTTTTGGCCCTTTATAACTTTTTAACTAATAAACAAAATAACATTTTTGTAAATGTTCGGAATATATCTCCCAAAATTATGAGACACCTGTTTCGTACTTTTTTAAAATTCAGTCCTTTTTGGGTGTAAAAGGGAGAAAACTGTATTTTTGGTACTTTTTCTTAGCTAATGTGAAAACTTTTTCGATTTATTAAAGTATTCCTATTAAATTACGGACTAACACTTTAATATTTATTGAAACATAATTTTTGCTATTTTACTGGGGAAAAAAGTACCAAAAAGGGGAAAACGATAAATTTGATTTTATTCAAACTCATTGAGTCAATTTTTATAAAATTTGAAAAAGTAGTTTATTAACTCACACAAAATAAGCTATTGGTATATTATTTAGGAATTCGAGTATAAGGCTATATAGGATCAAATTCGAGTAAATTGTTTGGTACTTTTTGAAAGCACAATTTTTTTGGAACAAATGAAAGCAGATTTGAATGGTTTGAGTTGTATCTGTGATACAGAGATACGGAACATTTCGTAAACTTAATTCTCGAATAAGTGCATTTCTAAGCGAAAAGGGAAAATTGTACTCTTTTTATTAGTACTTTCCACTAAGGTAGAATTTACTCCACTTTTGGTACTTTTTCTTTCTTCAAATGATACTCTTTGTATTTTCTATAATATGAATTCAAAACACATTATTATTAAACATGCACGGTTCTCATTGAATAAGATTCTTTAAGAGAGAACTTTTTAGTACTTCTTATCTCATAAATGGTACTTTATGAATTTTCTAAAATATTCAACTTAGGAATAAAAATTTTAACATACATGGTCTTGACTGAGTAATATTCTGCAAGTGCGAACTCTTTGCTACTTTTCCATTCTTCAAATGGTACTTTTTTGGTTCTCTATAATGGTTAACTGGAACACATGACACACGGTCCTTATTAAATGAGAGATTTTTGTACTTTTTCGTTTTTCCGATGGTACTTTTTGATAAATTGATCATAAAAATATAAAATTTAAAACGTAGGGATCTTAGTGAATGAGAATCTACTGAAAGGGACTTTTGTTGCTTTTTCATTCATCAAATTATATTTTTTGAATTGTACTTTTTGAACACAGAAACATAAAATTTTTGATTAAATGAGAATCTCTAAGAGGTATTTTTTAAAATAGTACTTTCGAAATTTTCTATAATGAGAATTTACCGAATAGTTTCTATAAATTGAGAATTTATGGAATATTTTATCTATATCGAAAATTTTCTATAATTCGAGAATTTGTCGAAAATTTTCTTTGTATTGAGAACTTAAGAAAAATTTATTCAATTTAATTTTTTATAAATTAAATTTTTTTTTAAATTTTTTATAAATTAAATTTTTTTTTTTTTTTAATTTTTTATATGGAAAATTGTTCCATAATTTTCTGTAAATTGGAAAAATATAGAAAATTTAAAAATATCAAGATTTTATTGAAAATATTCTATACATTATGAATTTATTGAATATTTTTTATAAATTGAGACTTTAT